ACACGTACGGACATAGAAGTTTATTAGACCAAAGGCTATCAAAACATGTAAAGGCAAACTATGTACTTTATTCTAATTCATATTAGTATTGCCGTCAACCACGACCGAAAATCAACCGTGTCTCGTTGACCTCCGTCTGATACGTTAATAAAATATTGTTATCTCGACACATTTTCCGTATCATCGGCTCGTATCGTTCGTGACTTACTCACGTCCAGGTGATTATTTACGTATCCGACGACACAACGTCTCGGCTGATTTGCACGGGACCTGATAAGAAAACGACGGTTATATTAATTTCTCTTGCTTTCCAGGCGACCATAGCGTATTCTCTGCTGCATACAAAGGCTATTATTACACATCCTGTGTACTGAGCAGTCGTTTGCGTGCGTCTCGTACGAGCAGTAGGAAACCTGCGGCCTACGACATCGTGTTGTTGTACCGGTTTCCTAGACACAGGGATACAAACAGCTGCTGACGTTGAATAATTCGAATTTGTCCGAACCGAAAATAATAAAATAAAAATTACGATGGACAACTCACGTCCGTCGACGGCTAGCGCCCGACGGCCGTATTCTTCCCCATCACTTCGTGCTTTCGTTATCATCAATCCACGACTTAGAAAAGAAAGTACATAGGCGAAGGCGTTTTGATTCCGAGCGATACGCCGTTGGACTTTAAACCAGGGCTTAAATCGAAATTGTATACATTGTTTACCGTTATGGGACATTTAAACGTTATAAGCAATTGAGCGTAAAACGCTATAAATAATTTAAACGTTATTCAATTTAAACGTTTAAACGTTATACAAATTTAAACGTTTAAAAAATTTTCCGTTGTCCGTTGTCGACAGTTAAAACGTTATGAACAATTTAGCGTTTTACGTTTAGCGCTTTGCGTTATTTAAATTAGTGTAAGATTTGAAACGTTTTCAAATGTAATATTAAGCAATCAATACTATGTAAAATAACATTACATATTTTAAATATATATATATACGAGTATATATATACCTTTAACTAGTGGTCTATTGGTAATATTTGCACTAATAAATATGGATTCTAAAATAAATTTTCTCGCTTCGCTCGACAATTTTTTCCCTCAATACGTTCGAAAAAATTTAATTAATCCTTTGTAACTACCTACATGTTTATACATTCTATTACGACTAAAAAATATAACACCACACGATATACATTTGTAGCACGTTATAAATTGCATGATACAGATTTAAGAACCATGGGCTGAATGTCCAAACTCCATAATTTTTTGTCAAATGTTATTCACTACAGTTAACAAAATACATCAAACACTGCAGCGTAAACTGTAATCTTCAACAGATAAATATTTTAATCAATTTCATAGTAAATAACAATTTTTTCCAATGAACTATTAAATTGATTTTTTTTTTTTGTTATCGAGTTATTTTAGAAGAGTATAATATTTTACAATAGGTGTACGCCGAAAATCGAAAATCTGCTGATGGGTGTACGCCGTATACCCTCGTGCGTACCAATACACCATTTAATACAACCCTTAACGATATTTTCTTTTTATAATTCTCATAACTCATAACTTATAAATAAAACAATCATATTTGTCGTACAACAACAATAAAATGCACATAACACGTAAAATATGAATTTATTTTCAATTTATAACTTGTGTTCGGTGTAATACTAATGTTTTATCGGTGTTCACCGAAATTATTTTTGATGAGATAGGCTATACGAGTTTAGCGCCGATAATATACGACGTAATTTCAGAAAGCATATTTATAAATTATAATTGGTAACGATTATTTATATTTTATTAGTTGATAAATGTATTGCTGTTTTAAACATCCTTTTATATTTATTTGATTTAGATAACCTAAGAATTTAAGTCAATTTTACAAAAATAACTATGTTCCAAATCTATTTTACTGATAGTTATAAATATTTTTCAATTTATTTTATGTTTCGATCTTTTTCTGTTATATTATTTGATATTAATTTTAATCGTTTTTTGTTTCTGTTTCGTTATCCGTTTTCAATCGTTTATCGTTTTCCGATATGTTATCTGTTGTCGATTTCAATCGTTTTTTGAATAGTATAACGTTATAAATACGTTTTGGTGCCCTGCTTTAAACAGTTACGATTTCCAGTGCGACATTTGCATTTGCAACGTTGACAGATAAATCGGAAACGGCAGTGGTTAAGTGTTCGTGCCATCAATCTCGAGGATCCATTTTTTTTCGCATGGCCAATTGTTCCCGTGTCGGAAAACCGTCAACATTATTTATGAACACAAGCATAAATTTATATAGTATTTAAACAATTACAGATTGATTGACTATTCAACAATTAAAGATAAGATATACGAATATGAGTATAATAATAAAGATGTTTTATAAGGTTTTTATTGGGTATAATTGGTTTTGATTATAACCGTTGTATCCGTTATACATAAAATACCGAAATGTGTGAATGTGCAAATATATCCGAGTTAAAGTATAAAAAGCATAGTCTGCGGTATGCTGTGTTTGGATATAAGCGTATCAATGGTTCTTGTAGTTTTACATTTACGCACCAAAAATCCAAACTAACAATGCCGTGTATCAAAACGCATTTACAATTTTGCACTATTTTTTTTATGAAATTATTTTATTTTTTTTGTTACTTATTATCCAGATTGAAGTGTATATTAAGAGCTCAGACAACGCCTTCGGGTCAGTGAGTTATAATAATAATAATTTACACTTGATTTATGTGTTTACCGAGTGTAAATGCTCCGACGAGATTCAGAAGAGTATTTTCATTTTTAAATACTGTACAGCAGCGGTGGTGTGCGATAGACGCGATAACACAGTTCGTCGACACTCGTTGAAACTCGACAATCCATCGCTTTACCGACGGGACGCACGTGTACGATACCATATTACACGAATATTTCGCGGTGTCCTCTTCAGACCGAGTTCCGAGGTGTGCGTTCGTTTCGCGAGGACGAAACCCGGAGGCAGGACCACTGGAATAGCGGTCCTCGTCAGAATTTAGCTCGTACAAATCAATACCATTTTAATTGTGTTTCAGATTGTGCGGTGGATCAAATCCGGTGTTTCGGAAATGCTGAAAGCGAACGGTGTGTCCGTTTTTGATTTTTTTATTTCGATTTCGATTAGCTCTTTAAGAGGGTTGAACGATCTTACGACATTTTACGATGTTTCGCGTCGGTTCGATACGTTTTATGGTACTCGAGTTTCTCATCAGCTTTTAAATTTGCCCTTTGGCGTACAAAACGGTTGACGCTCACCGCGCGAGAACAGCCGACACACGTTCAATAGGGGTGCGAGTGAAATGTGAAACGCATTATGTACGTATTGCGTTACACACGACCGATCGAAATAAATAAATAGTATGCGCGAATTTCGCTCGACGAATGTCCGCCGGCGTTTACAACTGTTGTACGGTTTTACTATTACACTCCTCTACATAACAATACCACCTATTACTGCTGCAACACCGCCGTGACAATATATTATTTCGACCGACCGAACGCAGACGCTATCGCAAAGCCCTGGGCGACGGGGTGAGCAATTATCAGCATACGGCCGTCATCCCCTACCCCGTCGTCATTACCACACGAGAATCGCGGATACCAGCGTACGCGGTGTACACGTGCGCGCTAAAGAGAAGCCTTTGACTCGTATCCGCGCACACACGTTTGTGTTATACGAATCGCTCACGTACCGCTTTTCCCCCGGGCGAGTGATACCGGGTTTCCGTTGATACGTGACACACACCACGTCCAGTTCGTGCAGTCCGACTAATCGTTCGGCTCCTGGAAAGTGTTCCCAAATTTTCTGAGCCCGCGACACGACGAAACGTTATTTTATATTTCGCGCGAACCGCGGGCCCTTTTCCATGACCGATGTGTGTTCGGAACGGTATTCATACGAATCCCATGGTCTCCGTTGCCAGTGGCGTACGACGGCTCGCCAGCCCTCCTGACAAACTTAGAAAAATCGCTTTTTAACCAATTAAAGTTTGATGTAATGATATTTTTTTTAACCTTTAATTTTACTTTTTTTTTTTTTTTTTTTTTGGTATATAGTTTATCTTTATAATTTATTATTACAATTTTTAACTATGAAAATTTGCTTTTCTCGCTTTATGACTAGCAAATTCATCGATCGTTTCTTCGTATGAAATTTTTTATTCAAATGCCCTTGTGTTATTTTAATAATTTCATCATTGAATTCACACGTAGTGTGTACAGATGGACAACATTTACGTATTTCAAAAAGTATACTGGAAAAATTTCGATTTTAGTGTAGGATAAAAATACGACTTCTGCACAGTTTTGCGACCCTGGTATAGGCACAGTTTGCCATATCCTTGATACGCCAATGTCCGTTGCACTTTGACGACTGAAACAAGCGTATGTTTTCTTGCACGGTTGAGCCATAGCGTTGTCACATCTTAAATTCAAGTCGAATCGAATATTTTTTTTATTTTTCAACGTTTTTCGTTGGTTAACTATTTACTATCGATTGCCTTAGATTAAAATTTATTTTCACACATATTTTGTATTTTTTACCCGGACTGTATGAATTTACGTCAGTTCGATTCAAATTCAATCGGGAATATTATACATAACTTTTACACAATAAATCACTAAATGGAATATGAACATTAGCATTGAATTAAGAATTAACTAATAACACCACTATTTTTTTTTAATTTTTAAAACTTCGATTTCCTGCGCATTTTTAAAAACTATTTTTAAACTCATATTTTAGTGCATTTCATGCACATTTTACTTTACATTTTTAAGATTTTTAACTAGGTTTTTTCAATGTTCTATTGTAAATTTGATTCAATGCACTAATTATACAATAAACAGTACATAACCGTCAAAATATCGCGTATTTTTTTTTTTTTTTTTTTTTTTTTTATTGATCTGAATACATCGACATCTAGGTCATTAGTACAAGGTGTTAACAATAATATATTTCATAATTTTTTTTTTAAATTAAGTTATACAATTCTGATTTTTTAAGGAATAAAATTAAGTTGTTAGTGTCCTGTGGGTTTGGTCCAAGTGCTTGACAGATTTGTTCAGAGATGTGGAATTGATCGCGGTACTGGTTGTATTTATGGCATTCGGTGATGATATGTTTTACCGTTAGGGGGACTCTGCATGTGTCGCATGATGGAGGTTCGTCGTTGCTCATCAAGTAGCTGTGCGTTAGATGTGTGTGTCCTATTCGAAGTCTGTTGATTGTGGTTTCATCTTTTCTACTAAGTCCGGAATTTGTCCATAGGTTGGTGTTATTTTTAATTTGATTGAGTTTAGTGTTAAGTTGTCGCCAGTGGGAGTGGCATTTATTGTTTATGTAAGTGTTGATTACGATTTTCGCGTCGTCGAATGTGATGGAATTTATATTTGTGGTTGATGTTGAGTCTATTGCGTTATGAGCTTCTTTATCCGCTATTTCGTTTCCCAGTATACCACTATGTCCAGGAACCCATACAAATAGGATTTGTTTCCCTTTTTTGCCAGCCTGGAAGGTTTCTTCTTGGATGAGCTTTGTGGTATCGGGCGGGTTACTTGTATTTGTGATTGCTATTAGATTGCTTAGTGAGTCGCTAAGAATTATGCATTTAGTTTCGGGGCTTACGCATTCTGAGTGGAAAAATTTGGCTGCTTTGTATATTGCAATCGCTTCTGCTGTAAATATTGAGGCTTGGGGAGGAAGTTTATATGTTATTTTTTGATTATTTACTATCATTGCAACCCCGACTCCGTTGTTGGTTTTGGAGGCATCAGTATAAATTTGAACACTGTTTGGATGCTCTTGCAGTATATTTTGAAGCATGTTTTTATATATGGAGGGAATTGTGTTTTCTTTTTTGAAATTTGTTAGTGAGAGGTTGACGTTGAATGTCGTGTTCCATGGGGGGAAATTATAGGGTTTTCTATCTAGAATGTTGTTTATTTTTATATTTTTTTTTTCAGCTTCTTGTATATATGTGTTTATTATTTTGGTTGCTGGGTTGTTTGTATTTCTTTTGGTTCTGGCACAATGCAATAGAAGTAGTTTTTCCCTTCTGAGTTTAGGGGAAATTTCGTTGGCGATGTTTCTAATGCTCTCAATTGGGCTGGATTTAAATCCCCCGATTGATAATCTTATGGCAGTATTGAGTTTGGTTTGAATCATATTTAAGTGGGAGGTGTTAGCATTGTTGAATAATATTGAGCCATAGTCTGTTTTTGATCTGATTAAAGCTCTATAGATCATTAAAAGGGTAGAGCTGTCCCCACCCCAAGTTGTATGTGAAATTATTTTAATTATATTGAGTTTTTGAGATAGTGAATCACGGATATTTTTAAGGTGAGGTAACCAATTTAGTTTGGAGTCGAATGTAATTCCTAGTATTTTTATTTTATCTTGGTTGGGTATGACGAGGTTGTCTAGTGTTATTTTTAGGGGTTTTATTTTCCTTCGTTTTGTGAAGATGATGCTTTGTGATTTTAGGTTAGAGAATGAGAAGCCTGTTTTTTTTGACCAATCTGATAAGTTGTTCGCACTTTTTTGGAGAAACTCTTGCACTGTATTTAGGTTATTGCTTCTGCATAGTATGTTGAAATCGTCTGCATAGAGGTTGGATATTACGGGAACTTGTATTGTTTCAACGATATCATTAATAGCTAAGAGAAATAATGTAACTGCCAGAGAGGAACCTTGTGGAATACCGTTTTCTTGATAGAACGTATTGGATAAGGTATTTGATACCTTGACCTGAAATTGTCTTTCTTTTAGGAAGTTTGATATATATTTGAACATGTTGCCGCTTGTTAAAATTTTGCTTAGTATAGTTAGTATTCTGTGTCTCCATACGGAATCGTAGGCCTTGGTTATATCAAGACTGATCATACCGAGGATTTGTTTGTGTTTGAATGCGTTCTCGATTTCTGTTTTTATTATTATTAGGTTATCCATTGTTGATCTGGCGTGGCGAATATCGCGTATTATGCTGCGTAGTGTCTCCATCTAGTATTCGGTTCGAATTCACATTTGTACACTACTGTAATCGTATTACAATTTTCATAAAATTGGTAAAGTAAAATGAGATGTGCACTCTACGGTGTTCCGAATTCACGGGTTAATTGTTATTTTCCTAATGTGCAATCAAAAAATAATATAATCACTCATTACGCATAACTATGCTTGAAAACCGAAATCAATTTAAGTATCTTCATTCGTACATAAAGTATTTATATTTATCGGTGTCTGTCTTTTTATATTGGTTAATACGAGACTACATTAAAATACTGACATTTTAATGTTTCTACCGACTAGTATACGAATCAGGATCGAACGTGGGGGAGGGGTTAAACCCCTCGCCCAAAATATCAGGAACAAAAAATAAATTATCTGACCTTCAAATGTATTACTGATAAAAAAAATGAAAAAAATTATTAGTTATTTAAAAGTTTCCCGTGGTTTGCAAATTGATGTATACAATACAATTATATAATATTTATGAATATTTTTAATTTTTTCAAAAATCCCCCCGACATTTTTTTCTGCGTACACCCATGATACGAATATAATAAATTATCGTAAATCTGTTCACTGGTAACTAACGGATGGACATAACGAGGATTTAGAAAGGTGTTTAAAATTTAAAACTAAATAAATGACAGACATTTTCAAATACGGTGGTCTTACGAAAACCCATATGACGCAAACGCCAACGATCTAAAGTATGTATCGCAAATATTCTATGTCGTATGTGTGTGTGTTGAATTTCCGATATACTTATACGGTGTATAAGGAGAATATATAGATAGTGCTTATCGACACCAATGAAAAGAGGAGTAAAAGAAAAAAAAAAAACACTTCAAAACTAATAAAACGCTCGAGACGATGGAACACGACGTGTGTTTGCTGCGCGTTACGTCGAAAACGTTTTCGATTCTTGTGATGAGTTTTCCTTCTAATTTACTCCTGTACGACGATACCGAGGTGTTATTCAGTTCCAACGGTAGCACTGTTGACTGAGATTTATATAAAAAAAAAAAGATTCCGAATGAAATTGCGGCTTATAAATCGTCGGCAACGATACGGTTATGACTTGTGGCAGATAAGCTTGGGATCCAACGAATAAAGAAGTTTCAAGAAATGAGAAAACGAAATGAATATGTACTTTTTTTTTGTAAAGATATATAAAGTTGTATAAATAACTATAAGGACGATATTCGTAAATTAAGAACATATTGACTGCATCACATCAATACAACGACGGAGATTGTTCCCCAGCAATTTCATAAGGAAGTGTTTAAGGACCATATTATATTGTCACTGTCTTACAGTTCATATGTTTAAAGCTTTTCTTTCTCATTTTCGTATGCACACACACTAGAGCTATACACGGTCCGTTTTTTTTTTAGACCGGACTGGACCGATACATTTTAACAAAGACCAGGACCCGATCGGACCGATAAAATAAAAATAAAAATCCAGACCGAAATGGACCGATAAATTTTAACAAAAACCGGGACCAGACCGGACCAGCCCGATAAAATAAAATTGAAACTCCGGGGTCCCCCCCCCCCACCGGTTGCGCCACTGACTATTATTCATTACTACTTTTATAACACGTACCTAATAATTAAGTATAATTTAAAAGCACTAATCCAAAAATAGTTTTATAAATTATGTGGGATTCGAATTTCTAGAAATATAGACATAGTTATCTCATATTATATTATATTATTTCGTCGTTATCATTTCCACAGAATTGGAAAATATTAATGTCTATAGATTATTAATCGATAGTGATAATTGCTAGGTTTTTTTTCTTATTTGTATACATTTGGAAATAATACTGAAAACACAATGCAGGTAAATTCATTATCACGTGTCCCTGCGTTATATTTGGAGATCTATTAATGGGTGATTATTATGTCAACAACAAGACTATAATAATTATTATAAAAACGTGATGAGCTATTTTTGTATCCCGAAACGTTATAATCTAAATTAAAATAATATAATATTATGAAATTATTTTTTATTTTACTACGTCATATAAATTTATAAAATTGTATAAAGTAAAAATCACGGGACCGGACCGAACGAGACCAAATTTGAATTGAAAGCGGACTAAATCGGACCATTTTTTTTTTTTTTAGAGGAAAGGACCGAACCGGATAAAACCTCATAAAATTACAATACGCAAAGACCGAAAAAGACCGGACCATGCAGAGTTCTAACACACACACAGTGACGCACACTCATTCTTACCAATATGGGTCGAACATATTTCATTAATATCGACCTTCCACCATAAACATTAGCAAAACAACTCCATTAAAGGTAATTTTGGAGGTAGTGAAACTTGGCATTTCAGGCATCAGCCTAGATCTAATGAAGTAGCACAAGTTCAATATTGAAATAACATTTGGAAAATCGCAAATATTTTTAACCACCCAATTTTTTGGGGGGGGCCAGATGACCCCCTTAACCAATGAGGTTAGCCATGAGAAGCGCCAATGCATACACACACATAAGGGTTTTTACTTTTATATTTGCATATCTTAACTCTTTTTCCAAAGCATTTCTTAACCTTAACTCTTAAATTAACACAATCATGATAAAGATAGTGAAAACATATTGGACAAGCAAGCATTAAGCAAAACTTGAAAAAAAAAGCTCAGGAAAATCTTGAACGCCCAACAAAATTATTTTGTCAAGAGTTACTAGTTAATGGTGATATTGAACATTTGCTGGCTGAATATATATTAGTGATGGGAATAATCGAATGGAATAATCGAATCATTCGATTATCATAATAATCAAATGATTTTAATAATCGAAATAATGGTACTAGACATATTTATCAAAAGCAAATTAATTATTCGGAAAATTGCATGTTTTACTCTTTGTCCATTGGGTACTAAATTAAAAAGTCCATTGTCATCAGTATTGTATTGTTATTTATTTTATTTTCAATCATTGGTATAATTCCCGGTATCGGTAATTGCCACACTAATCAGTTAAATACGTATAAATATTTGGATTGAAAATGCCTTTTACCTTCACGCTTATAGATAATATAATATTTGATTATTTATACAACCAGTTCAAGCAGTTAAATCATGAATCATTCGATTATTCGATTATTTTGATTTCGTTTACTAATCATTTGATTATTCGATTATTTTTTTTCGATTACTAATCATTCGATAATTCCCATCACTATTTGTAACCATTTGTAACAATTTGTATGGTTATATCGATTTATCAATTTTTAAAATCAAACTTTCGCGTTCCACATCAACAATTCTTATTGCATCTCATTAAATCAAAAATTCTAGCCACAAGATATTTTATTTTGACGGGTAGTATTTTGATTTTCTTAGAAGTTTTTCCAATATGAAAGAAAAACTAAGAAAAATAACGAATACGTTTAATTTCATGAACAACTAAACAAAGAACTGATTCTTTCATCTGTAGGGTCTTGCGCAAGCCGTAAGCTATTTTTTTTCTCGGAAAAAACTTTTAAGTTTGAAGAGGTATAGTAAAATTGATTATTTTCGCCAACTTCGGTAGCTGATATATATATATTTTTTTTCATAGTCTTATCTCTGAAATATACTTTTTTCCCCATACTCATATTTATTTAAGCATGACACTGACCTTTACTTCTAGACCAGTTTTTGTGATCCGATTAGTTGTATTCACACAAACAATACATACGGACCAGTATAATGTCCGGTAACAACAATCTATAAAATATTATAATAGCTCGTTGTCCAAATCGCCGGCCACAGTGTTTCGTGGAGCAGTAATTTTTTTTTTTTTCACTTTCCATTTTGATTTCATATGTTCAGTAGGGATAACGGAGGGGAAAAAATTATATCGCGTACTTCTTTACCTTGGCCGAATACGCGTATTCTGTCATTTGCATTAGAAGCGTTTGCACGACGGTAATTCACTCGGATACCACATCATAAATAAAAACAGACGCGCACCGCACCGTCGTCCGAGATTCATCCGTGCACAATTTAATTAGGTTAAAGTCGAATCGCAATTAGGTTAGATGAAGCCAATGGTCGAACGCAATTGGTTCCAGAAAACATTTTGAAAAGTAACGATGGTTAAAATGTAAAAATAACTGTCAATATTTGTAAAGGAAGAATAATGGAATGGAATAAATTTTTAATAGAGAATTTTCGTTGCAGAAAACCGCTCACTGTGCCGACCACACGCTTTGCTCACCGTCGACGGTACAATTTAGGGAATACAATCGCACCCCCAGATAGGTTATAAATACTATTATCCTTGTACCAATTATCATAAACTTGATATTTTTGCATGTTGACTTTGTGATTTTTATGAAAATGTAAAACCTCATCGATTTGCTTGATGTTCACTCATTTTTACCGAGAAATGATTTTTTTTTTTTTTTTTATAAAAAAAATTAAGGACATTGAAAAAATATTATAATACATAATAATAATGATAATAATAACTTATTTAAAATTATTTACATAACTTTTGGTTGCGATCGTCAATTAATCGAAAAATATTAAAAAAATATAATCCAATTCATCCCGATTCAAACTATTATAGCCATTTAAAATACAATAGGTTTATTATAAAGTTTTAAATATCGTAACTCATCCGACCGTTTCTAAATCCAGACAAAAAATGCAATCCAACTGTTCCCGTGATTGATTATCCGCGCACGCATTAATAACGCAACGTAGCATTTCGTAATATATTAACACTATCGGCGTGACCTGTTCACGCGTAACACAACGGGGCACGGTAAGCAATTGCGTGCAGACGTGTTGTTCGTGATTGATCCGAATCGAAATTATTTTTTTCGATCCGTTTACGGGAATACAGTTTCTCGCCGTCATCGTCTACCCGTTTCGCCGTGTTTGGGATTCATCGGCCGCCCCCGTGATTTCATATTTCACGCGTTTCCCG